AGGAGGATATTAAGGCTAAAATGGTCGTAATAATAATAGTAATAATAGTAATAATAGTAATAATAGTAATAATAACTCTAAGAGAGGAAATTCTAACCTATAAAATACTAGAGAGTTTAATAATATTAATAAGAATATTAAACTTAATTACAATTATATAATTAAACCAGGTAAAGTTAAATATAAAAAGAATAAATATTAGTTACTTTATTTTAACTTAACTTCTAAGAACTAAAAGCTAAATAGCTCTAAAAATAATAATAGGTTAAAGCCTAATCCTAATATTATAAGTATTAGTGGAAGTTTTATAAAACTTACGCTTAATGTAAATACATTTAATCCTAAAACTATTTCTATTAATAATAGCTTAAATAGCGTAATTAATATAGTTCTTTCTTTAAGAAACCTTAAACGAAATAATGTAATTCTTAACTTTAAATATAATAATTATACCTTTAATAACCCTAAATAGTTCACTTATTTAAACATATCTTTATATATAAATTATATAAAAGCTTATAATAGCGAATAACTTTAAATTAATAGCATTAAATTAGTTCTTATCCCCGTATTAGGTAGTATATTAGAATTAGTAAACGTTAATTACTTCTTAAAAGAAATAGTTAATATAATATTTATAGGACTTTTACGTTAGTTTTATAGGACTTACGCTTAATATAAATACATTTAATCCTAAAATTATTCCTATTAATAATAGCTTAAATAACGTAACTAATATAGTTCTTTCTTTAAAAAACCTTAAACGAAATAATGTGATTCTTAACTCTAAATATAATAATTATACCTTTAATAACCCTAAATAATTTACTTATTTAAATATATCTTTATGTATAAATTATATAAAAGCTTATAATAGCGAATAACTTTAAATTAATAGCGTTAAATTAATTCTTATCCCTATATTAAGTAATATATTAGAATTAGTAAACGTTAATTACTCCTTAAAAGTAGTAGTTAATATAATATTTATAGGACTTTTACGTTTTAATAGAATTATATTTAATAGATTTAAAGAAATACTTATATAACGGTTAATAAAGTAGCTTATTATTAATTACTATTAGACTTAAAACGTTATTATAATAAAAATCACTTAAAATAATATATAATACTATAACTTTACATCTCTTTTATTAAAAGCTATTATAGGATTTATTAAGTATAGCCTTCTTTATAAAAGACTTAGTTATACTAGGTAAGAACGAATCTTAAAAGTATATAAAGAAGAGGGAATTTATATTAATTAAAACTCTTTACGTAACTTTTATTATAAAGCCTATAATCTTATAAAGGTAAATTAAATAATTAATTATTAATTTAAAATAATATATAATACTATAACTTTACATCTCTTTTATTAAAAGCTATTATAGAATCTATTAAGTATAGCCTTCTT